AGTGCTGCCTGTATAATCGTATACGTGATTACGTAGCACAAACAGACAGACCAGGACAGGCGATTACATACCAGTCCGGCGCCGCTTGCTCGATGCATTGCTTCCTGTCGAGCTAGCCTTCCGTTTGCCATTTGAGGTCTTCCCGGAATTAGCGATATCATTCTCGGCAGCAGTTGGTTTGTCTGGGCCTGGGGGAGGGGGGGCTACCGTAGAAGTAGCAATAGTCGCTTCATGATTAGTCACCAATCCGGCTCCTGTAGTGGGGACAGTAGTCAGTAGTTCACTTTCCAGAGAAGCTGCTGTCTGGAGAGGAAGCACTGAAGCTGGTAGAGGAGGTAGCTCCAGCCATCGTTGGCTTCGGCAGTAGCGTAGTAGACTCACTTCACCTTTGTATACACAGCAACAGTTAGGCACTTTCAACGCAGCAATACAAGTCGGTAGCGTACCAACGAAGTAGTCGACACCTTCAACGCCCTTTGCATCTCCCTCGGGTGGTACGTAGGTGTACTCGACGCTCAATCCCTTCAGCCGTCTGGATTTCCAGCCTTTTTTGGTCAGCTCTCTCCAAATTTGCTTGAACGGCTTCTCCATCTTGAGAGTGTTGGTCTGTCTGGGTGGCCGCTGATTTTGGAATGGACGGCTCCCGGCCTTGTGGATTCTTATACAGTAACCCAAACCCTTTTTTCGCAAAAAATCATGTCACGGGTTCGATGCTTACCCTACCAAAGTTAATGTATACATATACCTATATGTGGAAATAACATGACAGATTTTGCGAAGCAGAGATCCCGGAATAATAACACCTCCATAAATTGTATTCCGGATTATCCGTAATGCCGGTGTAGAAGGGTTAAATGACATTGCATTTCTATAGGTAGCTAATAGTTTGTATTAAACCCAAACTTAACCTACCTATAAATATACTCAGTTTACAATCTACCTTATTTAGGTCACTTCGCCCTCTTTAATTAAAGAGGGGACCTGTGAACTGCCGTTCACTAAGAGTTTGTATACTCTCGGAAGATAACTTCCTCTAGCGCAAGGTGCTGTGTGACCCCGTCACAGTACTGGTAACGCACTAAGCCCAGCTTCGTAGCTGGAGTTTCAGAGCTTTAAAAGATCAAGCTGGTCGCTTTACAAGTGGCGGGTTGCTCTAGCGTGATGGCAAACACAGACAGGTACGATGAACAAGCTCACAAGAGTTTGTGAACCTCATAAAGCAGAACCACTAACCCATCTTACCCCGCACAAAGCGATCCAAAAAAAAATTAGGGCAAAATCCATAATTTAAAAATATTCAATTATAGACGGAGCGCACTATTTAGGCTGTGTTCGGTTCTTGAATAAGAGCGTGCGCGACTGAATCAAGAGCATCTCTAACGATGATCCCTAACGCCGGTTTTATCCTAGAAGTAGTGCCGTTACGGATTAAATAGTAAGATGAATGTTTATAGCAAGCCTGTGAAGCACAATTGATGAATATATCCGGCGGTACATCGTTAAAAGGCATATTTCAAGTAATTAACAGTCACAGCTCAGGTATTCGTGCCTGGTGGGTCCGCCGCTGGTATGTTTAGAAGTGTGCTTCAAACTGGTCCCACGTGTCGAAGGTTTTGCCAAAAGAAATCACGTTGCCACACTCAACTTTGTAGAATACCCGTCTTGCCACATATAAAGCCATCAAGTGACTTCATTTGGATATCAGCCTACCAGGTCCCTGTTGCAAACCAAGTTGCACGATCGGTCAATATCTATACAGAGTACTATGACTCTGCTAAAACTAGCGCTAACAGTAGCATTTTGATATTTGCTTACCGAAATCTTCAGTGG